AAGTTATAAATCCGGTTTTAAATTTGGAGAATTAATGTCTGAGAGAAAATAAGTAATATTTTTTCTTTAATAAAATAAGTAATAATTAAATTTATTTAAACTTATATTAAAGTAAATAAAGTAAATTTCAACTATAAATATCATTTAATTTAATTTATGAAAATATTTTATTACTATAAGTTAAATATGACATTTATTACGATAAATTAAATATTTTATTTTACTTTTTCAAATTTTATGTCCCTTCAAAACATTCCTTCAAAAATGGTCATGACTCTCCTCAGCTTCTTTTTTTTTAATTGAATTGCCATAACTTTTTGAGAAAGATTGTAAAGTGGTTTTCGCTGCCCTTTTTACAGTTTTGAATTTAAAGATGTCCTCCGAGACAGGCTGTCTTACTAATAATAAAGAGTACAGACGACTCTTCTATTAACCCATAGTTAAGAGTAAGGTAGAGATAGGTTCATGCCTTTCCAAAAAGCATTAGTGCGAAGTGGGCACAACAGACTCAGACAGAGTTATTTGATTTAAATAAATTAAAATATTACTTATTTTCGTATATTCAGTACACATGGAAATAAATTTGAACTTTGATTTGAACTCCTGATTCTGATTTTTCTTTCGTTCAGATGAAGCTTTTACAAATTCAGCCATTAGTCTTTCATGTCCATCTCTATGTGCTGGGTCTTTTCAGGAATTGCGTGAACATAGCTCTTCACAGCTTCCTGTTTTGTTTGTGCTCTAAGTAATACTTTCTACTTTACAACCACTCTACATCGTTGTGATATTTGTTTCGTCATCCATTTGCCCAAATTTATCAAATATGTTTCTCGTTTCTTTCCACTGCCTATCTTGACATAGGTTTACCCTGTGAGTGTTACATTCTTCTAGCTTTCTTTTCTCTGCATGTATTCCTCTAAAATCAACGGTTTTCTTTTGATAGTTTTCACCAGTTTCTTTGTAGTTCCTATTTTCTTTAATCTTCCTCATTAGTCATATGTTCTACACATGACATTCTCAACACTGAATCCCACCTTATTTAAATAGAAAACAAAACCTGATTAAAATTCGCCGAAATTCTACGAAGCATTTAATTAAATCAAAGAAAAAGGTGGCAGCAAAGGAACGTAAAATAAATGATAGTAAACACTTTCTTTTCGAAAAAAAAATCGAAAATTTTAATTGAGGATGTTACAGTAATAAACCTGAATAATGTCTATCAAGCAGGTTTAAAGACGTTTAAATTTCAGTTTTTGAAATTTATGAACATAGAATGTCTGAATCAGTAAAAAAAAAATTACATTAATAGTTTCGGATAAAAAAGAAACTAGTTTAAAGGGAAAAGTTTGATTGGAAATTCGAGATACGTTTCCAGTGTTTGAAAAATAAAATAGAAAACCATGTCTAAATAATGATCATGATGGTAATTGCATTTCTATTAAAAGATTAGCTGTTGTAGCAAGAACACTGAACAGTTTGATATTCGCATCCATTGATTAATTAAAAAGACAATTTCCATAAGTTTTTTTTTGTTCTTTATTTATTCACTTGCAGATTTCATCAGACATATATTTAATGACAATGAAACTTGCTTTATTTTCCATGTATGAATTAATTTGAACAATCGATACAACTTATTAGCTGGCAACATTATTCCTTACCAATAGTACTTACTCCAAAGAAAAACAGTACCTAAAGTTTCAGATGCATTTTTAAAAATGAAAATATTTATTGAAGCTTTTATTTTAATTTTGATTTCAATGTTTCTAACAAGCAAAATATTTTGCTGTATTTCAAAATATTTTGCTGTATTTGGAATGATTTTTTAAATCGTTAAAATCGCTGAAAATGATTCATATTGGCTAATCTGTCAACACAACATGATTATCTTCACTAAAAAAAAATTCAAAACTAAAATATACTTTTCTGAAACTTTATTTGAGGAAGATTAACTGGTTTAAAGTTGAGAATTAAATTGATTTGAAACAAATATTACTTACTTTTAGTTTGAAATATGGCAGAAGAGCATTCTTTAACACGGTGTGTGCTTTTATATGTTGACAACTTTTTCGATAGACTTATGTTTGGGAATTTTTTCTTCGAAGGATATAACTATAACAATTACTTAGCAAATATAATGTGAATGCCTTTTTCATATAAAGTTTTAACTACCCAGTAATCTTTAAAATTTATTCAAAAGTAAAATGATACGATTGAGAAGGAAAGAAACTATATTGAGAATAAGATCTGAGGTCACGAGACGTTGATGCTTGTTTTGTGTCCTTCTACGATTAAATATGTCGTAATACAAGTGTAACATGCATTACTTTTGACCGATATGCGTATGGATTGGTAAAAAATAATATAGCTAGTTTGTAATAATAACTAAAAAATTATTTACAACGTTTTTGGTTTCCAACAATTTTTGTGTTGATTCAATTTTTTTCTGATGATGCTATTTTATTCTCTTATCACTAGTGTTTCTATTTTGCGTTCAAAATGTCCTCTGCTCAACTATGTCCAGAGCATGTCACCTGCTATTTCTTTTCTTTCTCTTTTGAATTCTGAATATACTTACTGTTCTTCTATTTTCGGAAGAGCTTTTCTATAGTACCTCATCTTTATATTTTTTCCTCTGTTTGTTTGTGCAGTTTTTCACGCTTATCAAAACTTTTGGGGCTTTTTTTTTCGAATTTAGTCCAAGCAAGTTAGTAAAGCCACTAAGACACACAAGGGATTACTGGTTGTGATAAATTTAGAAAACAGAAACATTATCAAACAGCGAGAACAATAGAAGTATATTCAGGAAGACTGAAGATGACGATTGAAATTGCATTTAAATTTTTGAAGATGGAAGTTAACCGGAAAGTACGGAGCCGGAAGGGAGTTCTACAAGCAAGAAGTGCGAGAAAAGAAAATGTTAGCATTGAACTTACGGTTATATCTAGCCAATTCAATTGTAAATTGATGATGTGACAACGGACTCCGATCGTCGACACAGCACAGCGTGTGATGACATCCAAGGTCGGTTGTATGCCGTCTTTCCATTTCATGTCAGCCGAGAATATTAACCTGAGAAGGCACAACAAGTCACTCTCCTGGAGTGTGACAAAAAAAAATGTAGAAGGCTAATAGGCCGATAGTTAGAAGGGTCGGTCAGTTCATCTGAATTCTTAAAGACTAGAACAATAGATGAAGATTTCCAACAAGCAGGAAAGCAAGAGGCAGCAAGGCATTTATTATATAGTTTAGAGAGAACAGGAGCCAGTTCGGGAATACATTTTTTAAGGACTGTTACGGGGATTCCATCAGGTCCAGATGCTTTGTGGGGATCCAGATTTAGTCTTATGCAACCGAATTTACATTACGAGTAGATATGTATTCTTACTTTAGTTATTCACAATAAGATTCCCAAAGAGACGAAATTTGACTGGATCAACTAATATTAACGTAAAATAGTCTACTTATGGCAATGATGCATTTTGTAGATCATACGTAGCGATTTCGATCTTCACTGAGCGCAGATCGTAACTTGTGGATTTGTAAATAATCATAACCTAATTCAACACTCAACTCAACATAGTATTTTATAGTTGTTCGCCCGAAAGTATTTACTAAACTTAGCTTAGTTTGAGGCAAGACCACCAGTTTGGAGCACGAAAGGAGAATCGTAATATTGACTAATACAAGATATCCCCGAGCATGGATAACAGAAGGAGAACAGTCTACTCTTGTGGGCTGAATGAAATATTCAGCTCGAAATTTCGAGTGTTTTATTGAAAACGGGAGACACCTGAAGAAGGCCGGAGAGAATAAATACCGAAATGTCGTGATTGTAGCAATCAAAATGAGAACATTAATTCAAATAAATCTGTGTATTATGGCAAACTCATTATAAAGTTGCATTTGTTTGCGAGATTAGTTCGTTAACCATTACCCAATAGCAAGGCGCTTTTTTAAATACTAAACTTAGTCTGACATATGTAGGGCATCTATTGAAAATTGAAATCACTATTAAGCAGACCCATAAATAATTACCATTTTGTTTATCAACTTTATTCTTCAAAAAATAAAGTACAATTGAATGTTATTCAATTATATATTACAACGACTTGTTGCCACTTATCAGGCAGCTCTTCAGTTGGTTTTGAGTAAAATCTAGACATGTTTTGCTGGGAAAATGCTTTCGACGAAATTATGAATCTGGTTTTCATTAGAGAAAGTTTTTTTTCCTATCAAAGCGTTTTGTAGCAACAAAAAAATGTAAAAATTCGGTTGGTGCAAGGTCAGGTGTATATGACTTAGAAAAGACCAATTCTGTTCCAAACATAGTGTTATTCTTGCTGTATGCGGCCGAGAGAGGAGAATAACATTTTTCATTTAATCCACAGTGTACGCTGCCACTGCTATGTAAAATCTAAAATATGTTAGGGTAATGCAATTTTTTTCTTAACTGCCACGTACGATTAATAGTTAGGATGATACATTACAATCTGTCCCCCAAAACGGAAATTACTTATGACACAAGCTAATTCATAACTTTAAGGCGAGACGCCCAAATGCAATCTACTCCGAAGAGATTTTCCCGCGGAATATTCTTTCTGCTGATAGAAAATCGATTTATATCACAGTAAACTCGAAAAAGACTGAATTAGGCAGCAACACATTAGTTTTATTGTAGTAACGAAATCGCCGTTTTATGAGAAAATTCCCTTTACAGATTCCTGTCATCGATCCAATTATTTAAGTTCTTCTCTTCAATGGCACTATATGCAATGTCGGCATCTGTTAGACTCGGGAGTCTATAGAGTCTACTAGGGTGGCTAAGTAATCCCTGTTCCAGACGCCTACTCAGGCACAATTGTGTTTCTTTAACACTCACAGTGTACTTTTTTACTTCAACTATGTTGAGTGGGCTTAACTTGATGTTTCTAAGAGAAAGCGCATAATCTGGTGTGATCAGTAGTGTCATCAGTCCAGTACGGTCAAATCCTCGGAGCTTGTGGCCATATCACGTTGAAACACCGGTTGTCGTCAGATCACTGAATTCAAGCAACGCCGATCCTGGTCAGTCAGTACCTAGATGGGTGACTGTTTGGGAATATCAGGTGATGTCAGCTTCACTGTGCGGGTGATGTAATGGATAACTGCCACCAATTATAAATCGGAGAGCCGAGTTCGAATTCAAATCGGGTTCATTATATTCATTTACGCGAAAACATTCTTGAGAAAAATATGAATCCACCTCTTCTCTCCACCAGTTATGGGTTAAATAGTAGGGATCATTATTATTTCAAAAATTCTTACAATCCAAAAATATTTTCTAGATTCACATGACCTGCAAAAGGTGGATAAGCCATAAAAAACAAATCAGTCAATTAATCAATCAAATCCTCGGTCACCACAATTATTAGCCGCGAGAATTGCCTATCTTTATGCAGTGAACACTACCGGTGATGGAATAGAAATTGTATTGCATGTTTTATTAAATTTGATTAATAAAGGGCAAAAAATTGTCTTAAATTATTTTTTGATTGCGGATAAAGGGACAGTAATTTCATACTTACATTGTGCTTATAAAATATCAAACACATAAATACTACCGTCATTAGTAAATAGTAAATAAATAGTAACTAGTATGTAAAATAAAACAAATCTGTACTCTTAGATGTCTAATATAAGGTGGGGTCTTAATAATCGGGGAGGTTGTCGGAATTTTTCTCAACATGGGGAGTCAATAAACGGTATCGTAAAATCATTTAAAGGGTTAAAAAGTTTGAAATAAAATGGGTGTTTTTGATATCACCGAGGGATCGAAAACTTTCCTAAAAAAATAAATAAATAAAATAAAAAATTAAATAAACATCTCCACATATATTAGGTACCCTAAAGAGTAGGTTTTGTTTTTCACAACAGTTAAATTTTTCTCTCTCTCTCTCTCTCTCTCTCTCTCAAAATGAATAAATAAATAAATAAATAAAAGTAAAGAAAGCATAAGAAAGAATAACACAACTGACTGTCGCTTTTCAACAAAACGGTTACGGGTTCAGAAAACAGTGTCGGTGAACCATGTTCAAATTTTGGCCGAGGTTGCTTATTTTCGTTTTGCCCTAATATCCTTAGGAAAAGGCATGAATCCACTTCTCCTTGAATTCTGTTCCATGTTGACAGAAAAGAGACTAGGTGAATGAGCACAAACAAACCACACACTCTTTCTTAGAAAGCAAAAAAAGCTGTTACTACCATAGTCGACCTTGACAGGAGCGAATAATATAGTAGATGTATATATAAAATCAACTCACGGAATAAAACCTTTCTGAGCTCCTTAAAACATCTAAGAATTTTGATTTTGTTCGCAAGAAACACTTTTTTCCAGAATCATTCAATCTTGCGTTGCGTTCGCCAACCAAATACAAATATACAACGGCGGTCATTGACTTTGCACCCGTTTTAATTTCGGGATTGATATGCAATCTTTGGAGATAGTTATATGAATACGTAATTATCTTAGTTGATTAGGGTATTTGTCAAAAGCGTTCATAATTCAGACATGTATTTATGATATAATGAACATGTGTATTTATCCATATTCATATAATGAAGACGGCTCATTTGCCTTAAGTTCTGAAAAAAAAAAAATTGATGCCATTGCAAACATCGGGCAATGCCCTGATACTTCTCTTTAAGTGGAATGTTTGGATAAACGGATCTTTTGAGCAGAGAAAAATTATGGAAACGTTTATCTAAAAGCAAGAGGCGATGTCTCTAAAATATGCGATTACATATTCACCTAATTATCTCCAAAAATTGCATATCAAGGAGCAAATGTTTAAAGAATTCATAAGTTAATGTCTTGATGTGATGAAAGTAAGCTTTAGTTTCCTTTTAATTTATTAATAGAATATCATTAATTTATGACTCAAGAAAAGATGCTTGGTTAAAAACTGAGAAAAAATGATTGATTAAAAATTGAGAAAAAAAAAATGATTGATTAAAGCTGAGAAAAAATGGTTGGTCAAAAACTCATTCGCTAAATTTTATTAAAATTGAAATTTTGTGCGGGGCTAGAGGACAATATTTTTGTTAACTAGATTTTTAAAACTTCCGCAGTGGTTTTGAGGCTTACCATAGTGTATTTACATCATTGTTGACTTAAAATTTCAGTCTGCCATATCACGATCAATTCATTGAAATGTATTTTATAGCGATGTCCACACACAAAAATCCCACTATATTTAATGTGTTTAAAAGCAAAGGAACGAGTAAATTATCATTGTTGAATCATTCACTTTATTTAGTTTCCTTACTTTTTCTTCTTTCCTTTCCTTCTCCTAACTTTTGTTTTTTGTTCTTTTTCTCATGACTCCTTTTTTACCATTACATTGTTTTTTTTTTTTTTGTTTTTTTTAAGTTATTGACCACATTTATTGATAACCTGATGTTTGCGAGATTTATGTAAGGGGGAAATACTTGTAGTAAAATCACATGACGAATACAATGTAAACACCTTTATAGATAATCTTTTAACTACCCAGTAATCATTAAGATTGTAAACATTTGAAACATTTTAATATTCTATTGAATTTCAGGTCGCTTGTTTCTGTAACGGGGGAGGGGGTTCTGTTTGCCCCCCCCCCCCGAAAAAAAAACAAGATTTAAAAAAAAAAAAAAAAAACGTTTCAAAAATTTAATTATTTTTTTAATAAGTCCTGAAATTTCATTAAAATCCGGCAATTATCTGATGTTTGTAAGAATTTGCAAATCAATGTTTTTCCCCGCAAAAGACGATCATATTTCCCATACTAATTTATGCCCCCAACCACTTTGACGCCAGAAAAATATTTTTAACCAGAATTTTATAAGTTCTAAAGAAGATTTAAAAAAAAAAATTACATAAAAATCCTTTGATCTTTCCTTTTAATAATAATACAAATATTTTTTTGATAAAACCTTATATCATCTTTTCATCATATATGCTCATTTTTTTAGCAAATCTTTAGAGGTTCCTGCCTTTAAGTTACACTAAAAGGAGGAGGAGAATGATGAAGAGGAGAAGGAGGAGTATCAAAGGTATTTGTGCCAAGAGTCGAAGGAACCAGGCAAGTTTTGGATGAGCCACCATACCTCACGATAAAAAATAATAATTACCAGAGTTTCGTTTATAAAGAACGCATGGTCGCTAAAAACTAAATTAAAACCAGTTCATAGATATACATGATGTATTGGTTAAGGGTAACTATGTAATTTGTAATTTTCCCATATATTTCCATATTTTTACATATATTTCGACAAAAAGGAAATTTGGGGATATGTCCCAAAATTCAATCGATCTTTTTTTAGTCTATGATACACTATGCCTGAAAATATTATTGAAAATCATTTGGAGTTGTTGTATGGATAAACAAACATGGATGAATATATAAACATTGCTCAACTTCGTTAGCAAAGATAATAAATGTTTTCTATCAAACACAAATAAGCCATAACACAAAAATTAAACTTTCGCTAAAACTAGACAAAACTTTCATTGTTGTAATATCTTAAGTTACTGAAACGTTTTATAATTAAGTTATTATTATTACTTTATTTGATTTCTGGTGTATACTCATTTCTTTCCGGGTCCCAACCAGAGACATAAGGTCAGAAATGGCATCCTGACATTTTCCACTGAGCATTTTTTGAGACCCCCCCACCCAAAAAAAACACCTAAGATCACATATATTTTAAATAGATAAAGCCTTTCGTAAGGTGTGGGCTGTACTTGTGAGTACATTTTTTGTATTTCTTTAAGGCATGGGCTTCAATGAGTCTATTGGAATCTTTTTCAATCAGTCGAGGACTCCAACTAAAAGTAGAGTTGTTGTCTTCATGCGCCACATTTTTGAGATTTCGATTTGTATTTTGATAGGTTTTTTTAAGATCTTCAAAGATACATTATAGTCTGCAGGGACTGCCATGTCGATAAGAATTATTATTATTATTATTATTATTCACCCCAAGTAAGGCAATAAAGCCACTGAGACGCAAGTTGGGGTTACTAAGAAAAAACATTATTAAGCAGAGAGAACGATAAAAGAACAGGAATTAAGAAGACATAAGATACCGATTGACATTGCATTTAAATTTTTGAAGATCAAAGTTGAAGCAAGAAGCCGGAAGAAAGTCCCACAAGCGAGAAGTGCGAGAGAAGAAACTGTTAGCATAGAACTTACGATTATAAAATGATGATACCTTCTCACCAATCTGGTACTGTGCTTAAATTCATGAAGTTTAGGTACAAAAGAGTAAAGTTCATCAAAACAGAAAAATATTTATAGAAAAGGCACAGAGAATCTACGTTACGGTGATGGGAAAGTGACTGACACCGAGATGTCAGGTCAGTACCAATAACATAGCAGCTTCTTCTTTGTATTTTGATGCAGACTCTCTAAATGCATAACAGAAGCACTGAACCAGATGTGACAGGATTATTCAATGCATGGAATTATGAATATCTAAGATAGATTCTGGCGAGAAAAATTGTCTGGCACGATACAGTGAATCAGCTTCCCCAGCAACAGACCAAGCAATAGATTCAATATAATCTTTCCACTTCATGTCAGCAGAAAAAGTTAGCCTGAGAAGGTGTGAGGAGTCAGTCTCCTGGGGGTTAGCATCAACATTTACCCAGAACTATCTTAGCATTCATATAACTCTTGGGATGCATTTTAAAATTCTATCTCAAATATAACAAAACATTTAGCCAAAAATACAATAAGCTATTTATAATATGTTATAGGCTATATATTGGCGGCGTTAAAATCAAGCCGGTAGAAAAGATTTAACTATCTTGATAGGGTATTAACAGACGATGTAAAATGTGACACAGAAATCCGAAGTCTTATAGGCAAGACCGGTGTAAGAGTTTCATACCCCATCAATCTATGATATGGCCCCTCAAATCTATGTTACGCCCCCCCCACCAACTCAACTATATCTCAATTTTCATAAGTTATAATATTATGCTCTAAGGTTGTATCAAGCACTGTTTTCTTTTTAAATAAAAATAATTGCTAAGAATTCTGGATTATAAATCTCATTGTTCTTTCCTATATATATATATATATATATATATATAT